GGATGGAATAGGAGAAACCCTAGGTCTCCTTGGCTCAGGCCGAAATTTTCTGAATAGAGACCCAGAAACACAACAAATCAAAGAAAGGTTGGACAATGGGATTGCATGAAATTGCAGAGCTTCTGCATGGCAAAGGACATCGCTAGCAAGATCAATAGAAAGCCCACGGATTGGGAGAAGATCTTCACTAGCCATACAACTTACAAGGGTCTCATTTCTTAAATATACCTGGAACTCAAAAAATTAAATCCCCCAACAACAAATCTTCAAAGAAACAACTTCCCAATAAATAAGTGGGCGAAAGACTTAAAGAGAAACTTCTCTGAAGAGTAAAGAAGGATGGCCAATAGACACATGAAGAAATGCTCAACCTCTCTAGCCATAAAAGAAATGCAAATCAAAACAACATTGAGATACCATCTCACCCCCGTTAGAATGGCTATAATCAAGAACTCTAACAACAGATGCTGGAGGGGATGTGGACAGAACGGAACCTTACTGCATTGTTGGTGGGAGTGTAAACTTGTTCAACCACTTTGGAAAGCTGTATGGAGGTTCCTCAAAAGACTCCACATAGAGCTCCCCTATGACCCAGCAATCCCACTTTTGGGCATTTACCCAAATGTTTCCAAACAATACCACACTATATCTACCAGCACAACTATGTTCATTGCAGCATTATTTACTATAGGTAAGATATGGAACCAACCCAGATGCCCCTCAGTAGATGAATGGATCAAGAAAATGTGGTATATATACACAATGGAATACTATGCCTTCATCAGAAAGAATGATATTGCCCCATTTGTTAGGAAATGGAAAGACTTGGAAAAAATTATATTAAGTGAAGTAAGCCAGGCCCAAAGGAACATGGGTCCCATGGTTTCCGTTATTTGCAATAACTAGTGTATGTCTGAGTCAAGCAGAAAAGGTCAGATAAGTTGATGTTAGGGAAATGAACCCTAAGATATGTATTCAAATGTTTTTTGTTTTTTTTTTCCTTTCATGCATTGTTTCTAACATATTTATAAAATGATTTCTATGTTGCTTTGTATGCCCCTCCCCCACGGTATAACCCATGGTTTCACTGTATTTGATGTTGGTATAATTGTGGAGGGGAAGGAAAAAAAACACATTATTAGGAACAAATAAGTTATGTCTGTGCTTATATCATTTGAAAGTATTTTATGACGGTTTTGCAACTTCTGTTGTATGTATCCATGTTCCCCAGTTAATGTCGTGAATATTGCCAGTGTTGGTCTCTGCAACAATGAATTAATAATTTTCGCATCAGTAAAAATAAGTTAATTTCCTATTAGTTTCTTAGAGCATGTGTGCTATACTTCAGTTGTCTGAAATTAGACAGTTTTTCAATTTTTAAATTTCAATTTTAAACAATTTTTTAGATACCAGTTTTAAACAAATAGTTTATGGAAGTTATAGAGATATCAGTCCCATTCATGTTCTTATCATGAACTAGACAGAATTGGCTAAAAATTCTCTAATGCGTTGTTGTTTTCACATTGAAATGAAAGATAAGAAACAATTGGAGGCTAATAATTTCTGTTTTGGCTTAAAGGTCTTCAGATATAATACCAGTAAAATGTATAGTACTATAAGTATTTTTTGACAGCCTTGGAGAAAAAGCAAAAAAATAAAATCCAAAACAGAACAACAAAAAAACCTATTATAAAACTGTATTGTATTCACACTCACTGGATTTCTAGGTTTTTGTCTATGACCCAACTCTTTAAAGACTTCATTAAAATAACCTTTATTAATTAGCAAATTAATTTAAGACTTTCTGTTGAAGCTTACAGATCTTTTGACATATAAAATGTCAGAATTAGTTCTTTTAGTATGTAATTTAGTCTGGGTTGAGCCTTGTTACTATAAAGATATGAAATATGAAATACACAAAATTCCAAAACATTTTTATGTATGTATGTTGCCATACTGAAGTTTGAAGGAAGAACTTCTGTTTGCTAGGCAAGTACTTTCTTTACAGCTTGAGCCATTCCTTTATACCTTTTTACTGCTGGTCATTTTTGAGATTGGGTCTTAACTTTTTGCCTTGACTGTCATGGATAAAGATCATCCTATTTATACTTCACCATAGCTAGTTTAACAGGTATGTGCCTCCACACCACAGCATTTTCTATTGAGATGAGATCTCATAAACCTCTTTTTTTTTTTTTTAAACCCAGGGTATCTTGGAAGGACAGTCCTCCATGTCTTGCCTCCTGCATAGTTGGGATGATGGATATGTACTGCCCTGACCAACATTGGTTTAAATGGCTCTTAAGAAGCCCTATGATGACCTGACTTTTAACCATGACCCTCAACCTTGATCCTCCTGATCTCCAATTCCTACGTAGTTTAGGATTACAAGAGTGAGCCACCAGTACCCAGCCGAACTGTAAAACATTTTGAGTGCCCACGTGAGACCACTAGTGTGGAAAAGTTCACACTATGAAACCTTGTTTCTTACTCAAGAGTTCTTACAAATACTGTGTAAGATTTCCTGTTAAGATTAAATCCCATTTTCAAAATAACTCTTTATATGTGTCATATACAAGTATCCCAATGACCAGTAGAAATTCAAAATCTGAAAGATGGTTCCAAGCAGTAGGATAAAGGATAACTTGGGCAAAATGATCTCATCTTTAAGTATCTAGTATCTCATCTTTAAGTATCTACAGTATTTAAGAATTCATTTTTATTCTGAATTATCTAGAAGAGCTGATAATGGAGTTTTATGTATCCTCTTTTTTTTCATAGACAGATATATAGAGAATCAACCTTTTCTGTTGATTGAAAATCTTCATACTATTACTAAATTTATGAAGATCCCATTTCATCCTAGAATATAGTACTTCCAGTTCATTCTCCACTTTTGTACCAATGTCAGATAGTTGTGATAATGGTCAGCTTGATCTTAATCTTCCTTCCTTCATTCAGTTCCCTCTACAGTCATTTTTGCATGAGAACTGTCTCCTAAACTGATGCTAGAATATCAGTACAGTCTTCCCAGCATGACAAACCTGGAGAAAAGAAAGCTTCTACAAAAATGTACAAAAATGGTTACCTTCAATACAAGCATTTGCTTTAGGAAATATCAATGAAGGGTTTTTTTTGTTTTTGTTTGTTTGTTTTTTTGTCAGTCGTGGGGCCTGAACTCTGGGCCTGGGCACTGTCCCTCAGCTCTTCAGCTCAAGGCTAGCGCTCTACCACTTGAGCCACGGCACCACCCCCAGCCTTTTCTGCTTATGTGGTGCTGAGGAATCGAACCCAGGGCCTCATGCATGCAACACAAGCACTCTACCACTGAGCTACCTTCCTAGCCCCTAAGTGAAGGTTTTGTTTAAGTTCTACTTGGATTTTTTGTGGGGATGGAGTAAAGGGAAGCACAACAACAATAAAGATGAAAAGCCAACATTGTAAAATAAGACCAGTCTTTTAATTAGTCCATTATATATTCCTTTATAAGCAATAAAAGAAAGACACCAATAGCTTCAAACATTCATGCATTGTGGATTCATATTGTTGTCTAGCAGGAAGTAATGCATGTTCTATAACCATTTCTGTGGATACGTAACTATATTTGAGGAATCCACCATGCTGTTAGAGTACTTTTTGATCGTACTAGACTTCTGATCCTTCATTGCAACAAATAACATTTAAATGGAGAATATGTCTCCTCTTAAGGTCACCAGAAAAGTTCTATATGTTCTTTCAAGGTTATTTTATTGGATAGCATGTAGAAGATCAGAGATTATTTACTAAAAGTTATGGTTACAAATAGATGTGTCATACAGTTCTTGGAAGTTTTTGCTTATAAATCCTGCCACTGAACTCTGTATATGATAGCAACTTTTAAAAGAGAATATTGTCTCAATAATTTTTTTTAATTTTTTATTATGATTAAGTGATTACATATTCATAGTAGTGAGATAGTGATACTTAGTTAAAATTGCAAACATATTCTAATCTTCATGGGGCAAATTGTCATTATTGTGGTCTCTAATGCTTGTGAATTCTATGAGCGTTGACAGTATAGCTATTTCTTCCACATGGGTTATTTCTTTCCTTTTGCTTAGTGTTAGCTATTCCCTCTATCCCTCTCATTACCTCCCTCCCATAGCTGCCCTTGAGTTGCTTAGTTCATTTGTCTCAATAAAAGTTGTAAGTTCTTAAATGATTATTCCTCAAATCTTTGAAAGCTTTCCTCTGTACCAAGCAACAGAAACAGACTAATATCTCTGATATCTCAGATATCTAGCTTTGTTTGGGAGTAGACTGGACCCAAGAGAAAGCAGAGACTAACCTTTGATGATTGATTAACACAGTACACAAAAGCAATTCTGTCTATTCCAGGCAGCACCTGCATTTATCTCACTGAGAATATTGTTTGTTCTCTGCTTACCTTCTGGCACTTAGCCAACTATCCCATTGGTTAGTGTGTGGTAATGACAGACTCTAGAATCTCTTCTTTAAATAAATCATTATTATAGCAATACACATTAACTCAAAAATTTGCTACAGGGCTGGGGAGATGGCTCAGTGGTAGAGTGCTTGCCTTGCATGCATGAGGCCCTGGGTTCGATTCCTCAGCACCACATAGGCAGAAAAAGCCAGAAGTGGCGTCGTGGCTCTAGTGGTAGAGCGCTAGCCTTGAGCTGAAGAGCTGAGGGACAGTGCCTAAGCCCAGGGTTCAGGCCCCACGACTGAACTCCCCCCCAAAAAAATTGCTACATAAAATTACCTTCAGAATGATATAGTAGAAAAGAGCACTAAGCTATTCAGAGATACCGTGTATTGTACCACTTCCCTAGTCTTAATGAGTATACCTTCTGAAAAACATTTTTGGTGACCTTTTGTGTTTGGTTTTAGTTTTTGAGGTATTTTTTTAAAGGTAGATTTATGTTATATTGGCATATTGTCTATTTAAAAGAAACTACTACTGTCTACTGAAAAAAAACACTATTTTGTTTCCACAGAAACCTGCTAATATTTTAGTTATGGGTGAAGGTCCTGAGCGAGGAAGAGTAAAAATTGGTATGTTATATCTTTGATAAGTCACAGTGTAGCACTCTTTTAAAACTTTTGTAGGCAGCCATATCACTTCCAGTTTTTGTTATAATAATATGCATATATTCATTTAGTTTCATATGATCCAAACCATTTTAAAGTCTGTATGTAAAAATAAAATATGTTTCATTCTCTTGAGAGGTGTCAGACATTTCTTAAGAGACTAAAATGTTCTAATTCTATAACAAGCTGTGCAAGTTTCTTACAGACCTCTGCCTTTATTAAACACTATCTATGGAGGTGAATGGCTTCTATTCTAGTTAAGGGCCAGCCTCACTTTGAGTTATAAGAGCACATAACATGCTGATTAGTCTACCATCAGTCCAGTTCACTTCATCTAGATTAGATGAGAACATGCCTCTTTTGATCTTGTCTAGATGAGGAGTTACAAACTCTAAGGGAAACCGTGAAACCAGTATAGAACCCAAGTTCTAACCTGACTGTCTTGTAGTAGTCCTTTGCCTGAGGGTGAGAAAACATATTTAATAGGTGTTTTGTACCTTGACATGTTTTCACATAGTTCATGTTTCTTGTATATCAAAGCAATATTTTACCTTACGACTTCTGGTCACATAATCTATAAGGGTAGCTCTAAGTTTATCCTAAGTGGTCATTTATTTTACTGCCATTTTGTTAATTTATGTTTGTCACTTATATTTAGTTTTGTGTGGGGGTTAAAAATGTAATTAATTCTGTTAATTAAAAACAACACAATTGCGAGTATATAACGAAGTTTAGAGTAATTTCTGGTTGAAAGATTTAGTGTGAATAGAAGGCATCAGTTGATCTATTTCACCAACAAAGAAAAGCCTGGGTATTCTTAACCCTTCTCCCTGTCCTTTATAAATCCCCCCAAATCTCACTTTTCACTTCTAATTAGACCTTTGAACTGTTCTCTTATGATACAGAGTTGGCAAGTTTTTAGTTGTAAGAACATTTGATGTACTTCAAGGTACTCCACGCTGTTGACCTTTTTGATAAGGCACTGTCAGATCTCATCTTGGTGCCATGGAATGCTTAAGTCCATACATAGATGGGCTTTTAAAGGATTCTGAACATTGTTATTAGGTGGCATCAAATGCAGTTAGAAGCTCAAGATATGCAAAATAGGAGAGGCCAAACTCAAGAATATTTATAGATGTATTCCTTATTATATGATATGGGGAAATTCTATATAATATCTTTAAAATGATCTGGTTTGGAATTTCACTTCTATGTGTGGTGCGTATTTTGTCAGCAGGTTTCAGTGTCTTCATGTATTCACATTTAAGAAGCATTTAATAAACCAGTATTTATTAATCTGACCCTTGGTTTAATTATCTGCTAAACTTTGGGGTTTTTTTTCCCTGTGTAATTAATTTGGTTAGAGCAGAATCATTAAAAATACTCAATTTACTCAACAATGAATGAATCTTGACATTTCTAAATAGATATTGTGAATAGTAATCAACATGTATTAGGCACAAGCTATGTGTAATGACACTGCATGTGATAATACTAGGGATAAAAAGCTGAAAAAACATTACATCTTCAGCTACCTCTGAGGTTTGAGTTCTTCTTGAACCTCTATTTCCTTACCTTAAAAAGGCTATGATTTTAATACTCTCTAAAGTCTTTTCCAGCTTTAAAAAAAATACTCTGATCTTTAAAATTAAGTTAGTGAAATTCAACCCAAATAAATATGAAAAATAGTATTTAAGTACTGTGTAGTCAACATCTGATTATACCAGTGAATACCTATTCAGTACCTGATGCAAATAATGAGGAGCCTTACTCTAAACAGTGTGTGAAGACAGTACACAGTGAAAATGCAGCTCATCAGCACCCCTAATCCCAATGGTGGTATGACAATGGAAAGAAAGCTCAAAGGGTTATCCTTGGCTCTGGTAGCAGATCTTATCTATAACTCAGTTGAAGTAACTCAGTTGAAGAACTAGGTGACTGTAGTTCAGAGAGACTGAAGTTCTCAAGCCTGTTGTATAGTTAGACTTCTAAAAAGGGTAAGATGCACTTACTCTCAAGATTTTATCACATTCATATCTTTCTAAATAAAAATGGTAAAATTAGACTTAGATTTCTAAAAATTTATTTACTTAGTTGTTTATTATTATTACTATTTTACAGCTGATATGGGCTTTGCTCGATTATTTAATTCACCTTTGAAGCCTTTAGCAGACTTGGATCCAGTGGTTGTAACATTCTGGTACCGAGCCCCAGAACTGCTTCTTGGAGCAAGACATTATACCAAAGCAATTGGTGAGTAGTAGAGCTAACTAAAATTCTATGACTTTTTAAAAAGTTTTTGTAAAAGATACATATTACTATATATTCTAAAATTAAGTCATTTAACAAATTATAAAAGATCAAAAGCTAACCCAAAATTCCCCTACCTAGAAATAAATCCTTATCATTAGCAATAGAAACATTTCACACATCCCTACAGAGAAAGATATGCAAAATGTGTTTAATATATAATACTATACATTTTGTTTTAAGAAAAAGGTTTATACTTAATTTTACTTGTCAAGAGAATTAAACAGATAAATTCTTGTACAAATGTTTGTTTCACCCAAAGAAATATTAGCTTCTAAGACATTCTAGAAAATTACATGAGAAAGATGATGAAAATTTTTTTTTAGGAGTTTAGGACATTTTAATCTGATTCTCCATTTTCAATGGTATTGCTTTTCTCCCTATTATAAAGAATTAGGAAATTAATACTCTTAGGCTTCTCCCTACCAGTTTCTCAATTTATAAGATATATTAGTAATATCATTAGTCATCATCTTCATCACTTTGTTAATATTTACTTTGTTTTACTGTGTGCTAACCATAATTCTCACTAATTTATACTTGTTTATACTTGTGGTAGACAATTAATAATTCATTGTAAAATATAACTACCACAGTCCTTTTACCTACTGCTTCACTATTAATGACATCTTTATTGTACTTCACTTGATTTGATTGAACTTTATTATTAACTAGTTGTTTTTTTTTTCCCCTACATGTGCTTTGCCTCTCTATTCCCCGTTAGTGTCTAATTCTATCATGGGGTCTTCTGTTCTGATTGGTTGAACTCAGGCCTAAAATACCATCTCATTCCAACATTTCCCTTATTTATTTGGGTTGGGTCTCTTGCTTTCTGAATCCCATGGTTTCATCTCTTATTTTGCTATTATTTATTCTCATGTAACTTTCTATGGAAGGATATCTAGAGATAATTTTCTAATTCTTACATTTCTGAAAATGGCCTTTATCATACATAATAGTTCAAAAATAATAGTTATAAAATCACATTTCCTCAGAAATTTAATGAAACTCCTTCGGTCTTTTAGCATCAGTATTGAAGTTTCTTGACAGTCTTGTTCTCAATCACTGATGGCTTACATGGATTTTTTTCCTTTCTGAAAACAAGTAGGATTTCCCATCTCCACAAGTGATTTGCCCATCACTTGTTGGGCACATTCAATCTGAAGTTTATATCCTGTGTCTTTGGAAATTTCTCTTGTGTATTCCTTTGATTTCCTCTACAATGTTTTCTGGTCTTCTTTTCTTAAATTTAGTATAGTCAGATGTTGGAAGTCTTGGATTGGTTCTTTATGCCATGTTTTTCTTCTCATATTTTTCTGTCTCTTTTCTAGGAACTCCTTATCTGATTATTACTATTTCATGGCATCTTCTATTGATTTATGGAAAGAAAATCTCAAATATCTGTGAGGACAGTGATAACAATGCTTGTTTGTAATTTATACTATACAGGAATAATTGCCTATGTTATCTTTGTAGGCTTTCTTTTCATTTATGTGTCTTGATCATGTTTCAATGTGGCAAATGTTTTGTTTTTTTTTTAACTATTTGTTGAAGCTCTGTCTCTTTATTTAAGAATCAGGTAACCATCTCCCCTTTCCTCTTCCCCTAAAAAAAAGCCACTTGAAGACTATGTCTTTAGATGATGGGGTATGTAGATTGGTGACAATACCATTCTAGGGGAAATCCCAAAATGCCACAAAGCAACAGTCTTTGCTCTACGGCCCAAGTCTTCAGCAAAGACTGACAAGTCTTACCTGTAAAATGTTCATAATCTAGTTGAGAAGATAGTGGAAATATATGCATAAACAACTTGTCTTTGAAAAATACACATAGCAAATGCCTTAGTATGAGTTGTAGTCTTAGCTCTGTCACTTGGGGGAGTGTGTTCAAAGTCTTTTAGCATTGTTTTTGAAAAATGAGAATTTAATCAGAGTCAGCTCGTAAATCTCCTTTTTTTTTGGTTGGTCATGGGGCTTGAACTCTGGGCCTGGGCACTGTCCCTCAGCTCTTCATCTCAAGGCAAGCTCTACCAATTGAGCCACAGTGCTACTTGTAGTTTTCTGGTGGTTTATTGGAGATAAGAGTCTCATAGACTTCCCTGCCTGGGCTGGCTTTGAACTGCAAGCGTCAGATATCAGCCTCCTGAGTAGCTAGGGTTACAGGCATGAGCCACTTGCTCCAGGTACTTAGATCTCCTTTAACCTAGATATCTATGGTTTGCAGAGTAAACTGACTTGGTTACAAAAAAAAAAAAATTAAAGCTAAGATCATTGCTATTTCTTAACCAATGATGAGTCCTATTCTCACCCTACCCACCGCTGCTGACTATGTACACCTATTTGGCCAAAATCACTTTTGGGGGAACACTTCTAAGAGAATTCACAAACATACCATTTTAATATAAGTTTTAAAAATGAGAATAGTATAAAATGAAACTTCTTCCTTAACTCCAGTATCTGCCAAACAAGCCAGCTCCTCCCATTACCTACTTAGGTAACCTGAAGGTTTGTTTAATAAAGCATTTAGCAAATTCCCTACATTATGATTAAAGCTTCATGCTAAGATTTTTCTAGCATTTTAACTTCTCTGATAACTTTAGAGTGAGCAGCTAATAGAAGAACTTTTATAGTTAAACATGCATATAATTTGTTAAATGCATCTAAGCATTACTTCCAATAACATTATTAACAAAGGTTAAATCTGTTACTGATTTGGTAGTTTAATAAAGAGAAAAGGCAGTCTGGATTCATGAGTTGAAGTTGTTTTTACCTTCTACTGCAGGTTATATTGCTGTGGCCATGTATTCAGCTGTAAAAGCTGAATCATTAAACCAGAAAGGAAACAATAGTCAGTATAACATAATCCCATAGTCATACTTTAATTCTGTTTTGAGTACTTAGCCCTTTGCTTTTGTTTAATTGACTTTGAGAAGTATGAAGGAACTATGTCTGGAATTATCACCAAAGTAGTCTCAAGTTCTCCTAAAGTGGAATTTTAAGCTTAGGTCCATCCTGAAATGTTTGCTGAATATGTGACTTTCTACTAAATAAAACTACACTGTAAAATAGTAAAAATGAGAATTAGCTTCCTCTTATCAAGATAAAAACTTGCAATTAGAATACATACTTATTAAAATAGTTTAACAGATTTTCGTCTTGCCAATTTGTGTATAATTGTTTAGTTTTCTTACAAGGAGTTAGTAGATAAGACTTTTCCATGAATTTTACACAATCTGAAAAATACAAGTAAGATAAGAAGGAGAGAGTACTTATAAAGAACTAGGGACTTACCAGCTTGATCAGCTAATAAAATTCATTATTTATATATGGATCCAAAATTTGAAAAGAGAAGAGTGGTAACTTTATAAAGGTAAGACATAATAAAAGATGTAAAAAAGAGGTTATCGGGAGGCTTTGAGCAAGATTCAATAAACTAAGTTTTCCTACTTACCTGAGTTTATTTTATTTTATTTATTTATTTATTTATTTTTGGGTCCAGTTGTGGGGCCTGAACTCTGGGCCTGAGCGCTGTCCCTCAGCTCTTCAGTTCAAGGCTAGCGCTCTACCACTTGAGCCACAGCGTCACTTCCAGCTTTTTTCTTTTTGCTTATGTGGTGCTGAGGAGTCGAACCCAGCGCCTCATATATGCAAGGCAAGCGCTCTACCACTGAACCACCTTCCCAACCCCCTGAGTTTATTTTAAAAGCAGTATAGCTTTAATGATAACTAAACTACTTCCCTTCAATTTTGTTTGCACAGTACATTCTCTTCTTTGGAATTCTTCTCAATCAGCCAGATGAATTCTTACAGTCTGCCTTGGGTGTGCTACAAGTAGTTGTAAGCATATAAGTTATTATATGTTATTAAAATACTGCTCGGCTCACCTGTCTGGCCATTAATTAAGATTGCCAAGGATCAGGGTTAAATAAGGTAGATAAGGAAAAAGAACAATAAAAAATAATTTATCCTTTCATTTCTTGATTAGGCTTTTTTTCATGTTGGATACTGGTTCTCTGTGAAAAAGTGATCTCATTTAAAAAGCCTTTTCTTATAGTTGGAGTGTTAACCTTTTATGTAAATATATGATTAACTTGTTACACAAAGTATATATAAAATTATGCATTAAGTGAAATATATATATTCTAGTTGTGGACTTTAGGAATTTTCATTTAAAAATAACATTTTTCTCACTTAAATGACAGTTACTAATATAACTGAATAATATATTTTAATATAGTCATTTAAAAGTTTGCATTGTTTGTATGTTTATCATAGGTATTATTTAGATTAGTAAGAAATTGCTTATTGAGTGTCTGCTGAGTGCATATTGTAATGAGTGTGGTTCTTGGGAAGTGATACCCATTGGTAGATTTGTTAAGAGTAGAAGTTGAAATGCTTTTGGTGTTAAGTTCTCAATTGAAGTATAGATTAATAGTTATTTTTAGTGCAAATTCGATACAGATAAAAGTAAACCTGTGTCTTGTGAATAAAGGAAATTTTAGTTATTGTAGACAGAGAAATATACCACCCATTGTAAGCCTTCATACTATTTTTAAAAGGTAATGCTTTACTTTCTCATTCTAATTATTAAGTACTTTAAAGTTGCAAAAGCAGGTACTGCTATAGCTATAAGAAAACACTTTGGAAAAAAAACTGTTAAAGTAGAAATACTGCTTCAGGTCAAGCATTGTCTTTCTTGTTGGAGATAGCTCCTTGCTATTTAATGCCAACATGAAAGGATAATTGCTAGATTTTACAAATTAGCAAGTAAATATACAAGGTAAAGAAAACTGTTTTGCAGTAAGAATTGTGCTGGTTGTTTCTGGCAGGTGCCCAATTTCAGATGTTGTTTGGGTTTTCTGTTTATTTTTTATTTAGTTTTATTTATTTGTGGTTCCTAAGCTCCATGTACAGTCTTAATGTATATCCATAGGCTAGATAATGTGTGAGGCAGTCCAGCTAATGAATTTGATCAGTTTTAGAATAAACCAATGGGTAGAAATGAGATAGGAGAGGAATGAAAAACTTGGATGAGTAGATAGGAGTATATAATAAATAACAATGTTCCATGCTACTAGTGATTATACTTGCTTAGGAATTAATATGACTTATTAGGGAAGAAAAGAAAGAAAAAAACATTCCCCATTAAAATAAAAATGCATTTTCTTTTGGAAAGAACCACTTTATTTTCCTCCTTTCTTTTTTCTTTTTTCCTTTTTTATTTTTTTCTTTTCTTTCCTTTTTTTTCTTTTTCTTTTAAAGATATTTGGGCTATAGGGTGTATATTTGCAGAACTACTAACGTCAGAACCAATATTTCACTGTCGACAAGAGGACATCAAAACTAGTAATCCTTATCACCATGACCAGCTGGACAGAATATTCAATGTAATGGGATTTCCTGCAGGTACACATTATGTTTTGTTTTTGTTTTTAAATCACTGTTGTTTGAATTTAGATATTTTCATTGGAAAGGTGTATCTTTTTGGCCAATGAAAGCTACTTTTACTCAATTCATGGTTTTTATGACTTGTATTTATCAAAGATTTGTAAACATAGCAAAATTTGTAGGATTCACATATTAGCATGAAAATATTTATTGGTTTCCTGAACTTAAGAAGTGTTCTTTTGTTTCATTTGGTTTGATTTTTTTTGTTGTTTTCTTGTTTGATATTTGAAGTAAAATATTTACAATAACTATACTTAAAAAAGATAACTTTCACTTGATAGTATAAACTATAAAATCAGTAGTAAAATTTTTTTCTGTCAGCACATTTCATTCTGCCATTATTTGGCATTTGAATACAAATTTTGAACATTGTCTATGTGAAGCACTGTACAGAATCTCATTATATTGAATAATAGCACTTCTACTCTCTAACCTTTGTCAATCAGAACATTCTTTGAAGTGTTCGGGTAAAACAAACAGAGTATGAGTGAAAGTCACAGTACTCAGTGAGGAGTTAGTTTGCTGTTTTAAAACAGAATATTTGCCATTACATCCCTCCAACCATGTCCTAACCCTAGTTATTACTTCAGAATGGTAGTTCCTCAATCACTGAAAACTGCCCAGAGCTTCAAAATAGTGAAAATAATAATTCCAACTAGTCAATAGAAATTATTTCTTATTAGCAACATTTCTCAGCCACTGTGACTCAGGACTAATAAGTTTTGTTTTATTTTCTTGTTTTTGTGGTTTTTTTTTTTCCCCCCCAGTCCTGGAGCTTGAGCTCCATGCTGGGTGCTGTCCCTGATCTTTTAAGCTCAAGCGCTCTACCACTTGATTTACAGCTCCACTTCCAACATTTTTAAGTAGTTTTTAAATCGAGATAAGAGTCTCATGGACTTTCCTGCTCAAGCTGGCTTTGAATGGCAATCCTCAGATCTCAGCCCCATGAGTAGCTAGGATTACAGGCATGAGCCACCAGCTTCTGTCATATCTTGGAGTTTTAATTCCATGTTACCTTCTTTGAACACTAATTATCAGTAAATAAAAAATAAATAAATACCCAGACATCAACCTTTCTCCAAAGTTGGTTAATAGTTTGGGGAAAACCACTTTGTTGTATTGAGAATTTTATTTATGTTACTGAAACTTACCATGCACCAGACATTGTCTTGAGTAAAATATATGGATATAACAGGCGTAATTCTTGACCACTTAAGAGTTTACATTGCCCTGTATAAGTAGAACTTGAAAAATATGTGTTATTTGAGCAAGTAGAGGAGTACCCTTTTCCCCCTGCTTCTGAATTTGTCTACTATTTCTGAGTCCCACAGAGAAAGTGACATGGGAGTGATGAGGGCTCCTATCAGGAATGATTCTTAATGAGGGTTGAACAGTTTGGGTAAGCTGAGCTTAAAAGACACTGAAAAGCAAGCACCAGAATGTGAAGCTACAATAAATTCTTGAGAAATTACTTATGATTTATGTTCTGTTTTAGAAAAATTAGTATGACACTGTGGTATGTGAAAATCAATTAAAGCCAAATGAAGCCGGAAAAACAGCTGCTCACTGAATTAGTACTGTAGCCATAAAGTACTATTATGATGGAGACTACAGAACAAATATATAATTTTTATGTGTGTAATCGAGGGAAGACTAACAGATTACCTTACAATTTCTACCTTGGGAAATTGGCAAAGTAGATAAATCAAAGCAAAAAAGATACTTGAAGAAAAAATTCTAGTTGGGAGCCTAAGTTTATAGTCTATACTATGTGATATATATGAGGACTTGTAGAAAATGTTTTTACTAGTAGTAAGTTCACAGTCAGGCAAACTTCTAAGGTCATTGAAAAGCCAAAGGTGATATTAAGCTGCTAGTTCAAGGCCATGCACCTAGTAAATTCTCACTAACAGCCCACTGACAGTGATGATGGAGAAGATGAGTTAGCTAACATGTATTGTTGGAGAAAGTCTAATGCCTGCAAAACTGACTAAAACTGTTGTTATTAGTGTATTTCATTTCACCCTGTTCTACTGCAGTCATTACTGCTTCTTGATTGTTAATGTAAAGAAATATGCAGGTGAAAGGAAGGCTATCTTATAAAGAAGTATCTTAAAGCCACTAAGAGGAAAGACTTTCCATTTCTTACTGAAGATTCTGGTTGCTGACTTAGCCAAGAAATCTGCTGGAAAAGGGAAAACAGGTAGTTTTATTAGTAGAAATAGGAATGTTTAATCATCAGAATATTTATAATTTATTTCCTTTCAGTGATAAAATTGAGGCAGCTTATAGTAAAATAAAAAAGTAAGCAGTTTAAAATTAAATAGGAATATAAAGTAATAATTGAATTGTATTTACTGTTCTTAAGCTGTAGATGAACATTTATTTGAAATTTGGGCTTTTATTAATAGGTAAAAGTATTGAAATTAATGTAGTAACCTTTGTTAAAAATTCTTGAGAATAGGAACTTAGGCAACATAAAAATTTATCAATGTATTTCACAGATAAAGATTGGGAAGATATAAAAAAGATGCCTGAACATTCAACATTAATGAAAGATTTCAGAAGAAATACGTAAGTTGGAAAGAAAATGGACCTTCATTGATTTTTACGTTTTCCAGAATACTTAGTATAGAATTGAATCTTCTACATAATAGAGTACTCAACATAAGATTACTCTGATAAGTAATTTTACTTAACTACTCAGATAGTTTCCATGATGACAGTCATTTCTTAAGCTGCTTAATTGATGATGTAGAGAAGGTAACTAATTCTGGTAGCTGATTTGAATAGAAAGAAAATCAGTTCTTTCCATATTTATTCATTTCTGAAGCTAGATAATGGTGAAAAATACCAGGTGAAGAAATAAACTAAACGTACTTTGCTAATAGACACTTGACTACCCACCTAGATCATATAATAATTTAAGCAAATTTTAATAAGAGAAGAAATATTTCACTTACTGACAATGTAAGGCTAGAGTTAGGAGAGTCCAGTTTGACCTATCACAGATATGTTTCAAGTTCACTGAGTAAGGCTAAGTTAAACTTTTGAAGATAGGATTTAATTGCTAAAATATAATTCATGTAGAGAATAAAAAGGGGGTTATTCATGAAATTGTTTTACATGTAATCATTGGTGTCTATTCAAAAGTAACTAATGTGGATATTGAATGAAATATAAAACTGAGTTAATTCTACTCTATGCTGATGCAATGTGTGTGTGTGTGTGTGTGTGTGTGTGTGTGTGTGTGTGTGTGTATGTGTGTGTGTGTGTGATACCAGTTATGATCAAAATAATTTTTGGTGGAACACATTAAACCAAATCTAATATAGATATTTCATAGTATTTCTCTTTCAGGTATACCAACTGCAGCCTTATCAAGTATATGGAAAAACATAAAGTTAAACCAGATAGTAAAGCATTCCACTTGGTAAGTATTAGATAATGTTATTTAAAAAATTGGATTTCCCCTAATCCACAAGTTTAAGGCTTTATTGGTCAATATAATTACTTAGCATTTGCAGAGTACTTTAATGATGCAGAGATCTTGATGCATACTAATAAAGGCATCAAAGTATGTGTTTTCTCAAACTTACATCATAGCTCAGTAGACTGTTCAGTTATTTGTTAAATGTACTAATTGTAACAAATGCGACAACGTTCTTTTAACCACATTCATTGGTTTTTCATTAGTCATTTTAAAAATTCAAAATATTCAGAAAACAATCCCACAAATCAGAAACAAGCATAACCATTACTACACCACATCCTAAGCCCTATGTTTCAATTCTTAAAGGATTCTTTATTTAATTTAGTTTTTTGTGCCTGTCCTAGGTCTTGAACACAGGGCCTGGGCACTATCCCTGAGCTTCTATTTGCTTATGGCCAGCACTCTACCACTTGAGCCATGGAGCCACTCCTGCCTTTTCTGTTTATGTGGTACTGAAGAATCAAATCTAGGGCTTCACTCATGCTAGTAGACACTACCACTAGGCCACATTCCCAGCCCTAAAGGATTGCTTATGAAAGAAGTTTTTAACTCCCAAGATACCACTATAAACTTGAATAGAAATCCTTTAGTGACAGTACACATTATTTCCTTTTTCTGGAAGACTGTGACAGAATATTTATCAACATGTAATGGAGAAATAACTTAGAATCTAGGTCATTTGAATCTAAAGGAATTGATGCAGTAATAAAAATAATAAGGTCATGATGAGATTTACTCAGTTTGTTTAAGATTCCTATATAAATGTTTTATAGTTTTATGTTTAAAAATATTTATGCTGGGTGCCAGTGGCTCATGCCTGTAATCCTAACTAGCTACTCAGGAGGCTGAAATCTGGGGATCATGGTTCAAAGCTAGCCCAGACAGGAAAGTCTGTGAAATTCCTATCTGCAGTAAACCACCAAAAAACCAGAAGAGGCACTGTGGCTTAAGAGCTCGCCTTGAGCTAAAGAGCCTGGGCCTCAGAGTTCAAGCCCTAAAACCAATGAAAGAAAAGGATTTATGATAGAAAAATGGGTTTGGGGAAGCAAATTTTGTTTCACTTAAAATTAGTTTAATCCTTATTTTCAGTTACTCTTTGACTTTAGAAGGGTTAAACTTTCATTTATAACAACCAAATCATTTGACAAACATTATTCTTTTTCTTTTTTTCTCTATTGCTTTTGCTTCTTCTCTCTTAATATTATATATTTACTAATTGGTCAGCAGTTTAAAAAGCAATGTTTAGTCTGTCATCTTACCACCTAAGGTAACTTATAACAGTATTTATAGCAGAACCCAAATTGGACGGTTAAATTAAATCTTAAAAGATTTATTCTCAAAATAATGACTAGGAGTAATGATTTAAGGGGGACTACTCATATTTCTACTAATTCTCTGCCACTAATAATCTGAGATAGTGGGCTGGGAAGGTGGCTCAGTGGTAGAGCGCTTGCCTTGCATGCCTGAGGCCCTGGGTTCAATTCCTCAGCACCACATAAGCAAAAAGAAAAAAGCCGAAGTGGTCTGTGGCTCAAGTGGTAGAACGCTAGCCTTGAGCTGAAGAGCTGAGGGACAGCGCCCAGGCCCAGAGTTCAGGCCCCACGACCGGACCCAAAAAAAAAATAATAATAATCTGAGATAGCTCTTGTTGCCGTTACTTATGAGCTTCAAGAGAGATATGCATTCCTTGCAGCTTATATGTTTGTTTTAGTTTGGCTTTGCTTCACTTTTCTTTGGTTGGTTTGTTTCTATTTTGTTTTGTTTTTGTACACTCAGGACCATATGCATGTAGACGGTCACTCTGCCATTGAGCCAGACCTACTTTCTTTTACTGGGGTGACCTGTCTTAATTGTTGGTGACCTCATGTAGTCCTAAAAGCTCTTATTTTAATACCATTAAAACTGTTGAGCATTTAAAGCAGAAAATTGAAGATTTTACTCTCAACTCTAAAAATAAAATTACGTCCCTACTGAAAAATCGAATCACTAAAATGAAATGTTAGTCTCACCATTTTATCTGTATTTTAAAACATTTTGTCTCTTTATTCTCTACAATGTGTCATGTCCCATTAAGTCTCAATGTGTCTTTAGTTCATTGGTTTTCAAATAATGTATGGTTCAACAACACAGGTATCACCTCGGAACTTGCTGCCAGTGCAGGTTCATGGGCACCTAACTAGAACTGTCTGTCACAAGCTCTGGGATCAGGCTTAGATGTTCAAGCAAGTCTGATTTTCGAACAAGGTGATTTTGCTGTACACTGAAGTCTGAAAACACTGCATTAGATCAAAGGATATAAACCAGAACAACACAGTCTACATAACATTAGAATCAAGCATTTTAGTTTATAGTGCCATCTACTAGTTGCTGTTTCAACTAAAAATACAGAATTTCCATGTTAGTGTGATATTCTGTATTTAATCTAGTTATGCAGTAGGAAGTTAAAAACACTTAAATGATGGACTACATATTATTTAAACTAGTATTTTCTGTCCAGTATAATAGCCACAGATTTAACTCAGTTTTACTTAATTTGGATCTAAATTTATATAGCTGTGTGTGGCTAGTGTATCATTTGTTTACAAGCTTTTTTTCTCAGAAAAATAATTAAAAACTAAGAAATTTAGTCTTGTTTTAAATTGGATAAAGCAATTTAAATTATTAAGAGAGAAAGATAATTTAAAGTCAAAATGTAAGTATAGTTATTATTTGTATGAGAATCGAGTGATATAATACTGGAATTAATATGATGTAAATTACTGCTGATTTATGGTTTCAGCTTCAGAAATTGCTTACTATGGACCCAATAAAGCGAATTACCTCAGAACAGGCTATGCAGGATCCCTACTTCTTAGAAGACCCACTTCCTACATCAGAGTAAGTGATAAGTTTAATACGCCAGCATGATGCATCTTGGAATGTTCTTTTCTTAGTTGTCACTCTTAAGTTATTGTTATTCTTACACGGTAACCCAGAGATTTTTTTTATGACAAGAAATATTGAGGCCCCTGATTGAAGTGTCACTTAGGGACTTTACAGTTAGGAGGCATTTTTGTTCATCTCGTGCTTTGTGAAATGTTGATTGCGTTCATTTCATCAGTAATTTAGTTAGGCAGTGCCAGGTTGATTATGAATGCTATAGCTCCTTCAGAATCACTAAGATTGCTTGCTGCCTACAGTTACAGTTGTATATTCTAAAATGCCATTCCCAAATAAATGTATTTCCTTTACTTGCTTTTGTTTTAAATGTAAGACTGAAGGTAAAACAAAAATTGTCCTTAAGTAGTGATATACATTTCACTTGGACTCTGCATTTTGGTTGTAATAAAAGAGCACAATGATAAGATAAAAGAAAAGTTTTGACTCATAGTAAATGAATATTGATTATCTTCCTACAAAATAAAGCCTTCAAGTGGTCTGCTGTTAGTGTCACTGCTTAAAAAGGATGATTATTTCACACTTAGTTTAAGTGCTCATATTGCTTATATGGAGACTGGGTCTCCATATTTTAAATGAATGCTACCTAAGTAATCGAAGTATCAATTAATATTCCAGAAATTATTTTTCTTTTTTTCTTGTGGTCAGCGTTTTTGCCGGTTGTCAAATCCCTTACCCAAAAAGAGAATTTTTAACAGAGGAAGAACCAGATGACAAAGGAGACAAAGTAAGTATTAAAGTACAATTGGCAGTGTCTTGTTTTTGACAGCCCAAATGACGTTTTTTGCTATGGTTGCATTTTGTTCTGCTTCTGAGTTGAACTTTGTTTTTCTCTTTAACCAATTGAGAAGAACCAGCAGCAGCAGCAGGGCAATAACCACACTAATGGAACGGGCCACCCAGGGAACCAAGACAGCAGCCACACACAGGGACCCCCATTGAAAAAAGTGAGAGTTGTTCCTCCTACCACTACCTCAGGTGGACTAATCATGACCTCAGACTATCAGGTATTTCAAGTTTGTTTTGAATTGACTTGCCATGTTGGTGTTTGCAGAAGGGCTTATGACATTGGGAAATGAGATATAATTGAGAAACACTGACCTCAGTGAACTTGGAATAATACAGGGAATGTTACTGACATTGAAGAGCTCTTGCAGTTTAATAGAAGGAAGGGGTCAAGACTTGAACCAAAACAGAATCAGAATTTATGCCATTTATTTAATCTGTGATTTGTAATAAGTAAAAGAACATCTCCTGACATTTAATTTCTTTTCATCTATAAAATGACACTAGTAAAACCTAAGTTTCTATCAGCCTAGACCTGAGATGGCTAAGCACTTAGCTTATAATAGAGGATTACAGTAGTAGGTTATTTCAAAGCAGTGCCATAGTGATTAAGAACATTGGCTTTCACATCCCAGTTTTGCCACTTACTCTTCTATAGTAAATGATCCTGTGTCCTCATTATAGAATAGGGGAAGTTGGAGTAAGGCTTAAATGGAATGATGAATGCTTGAGTATAATGGCTAGCCTGACATAACCCTTAACAGATAATAGCAGTGTTTTTTTTTTCTTACTGTTATCATCATTAAAATTCTTAGTAGTATTTATAGTATACTGTAAACATCTAAGTGGTGGTGGTGCTGGTGATACTGTAACAACTGTTGGTTTGTTATTCTAAGGATGAAATGTACATGGCTTCCTTTGATCAACGTAAGTCATGAGGGGTTGTATATTGCCATTTCATGAAATTGAGGCTTAAAGAGTTTAATAACTTTTTCAAGATCACTGATGAAATATAGTGGTAAATTGGACTCAGGCTTAGATCTGATCACAGAGGCTGTTTCTAGGACTGTATGGATCCTGTCGAATGACATTTTCAGTTTTTTTGTGGAAAGACTTGTTTGGAAAATTGGACATTATTTCCCTTTCTCTTCTGCTTATTCTTACATTTCTCAATTAAACTGTTTCACTGTAAAAAGGATACTGAAAATGTGACCAATTAGGGATTACTTACCTACAAAAAAAGGCATAGGTCTTAAGAAACCAACTGGTTAGGTTTATTATCTGTGGCTACTTGGGATAAAAGAAAGATCCAACCTCTGAAACATGGACATCCTTGTCTGTTTGAGTTGTGGCTCTTTATTATTATGTAAACAAAAAGCACTTGGGAATAGACATCTTTAAGGGACATTCCAGCATCTTTTCCCCATTCGTTCAGAAGGAGATAAACTTCCTTCTTAGCTGAAGGGTGTACTCAGACTAAACACAACCCTGTATGCTTCTGTGAGCTAGAAAATGGTGCTACTTTGTAGGTGTTATTGCTGCTGTTGATTTAGGGTAGTGATTTTTGACTCTTAACAAGTCTACTCTTCCTAAAATGTTATTTTAGAAAGTCTTGTAAAATTATATGACTAAATGAATTTGCATCAAAAGCAGTAAATTGTGATTAATTTGTTAGAGTATTTGTTTTGGTATTAATAGCCCTTGAGGAGCAAAAAAAGACATAACTTCAAAATTAGAACACTCCATTTCACTGTTTCCCTCTTGCCTGATTTAGGCTTGAAAATACCACTCATCTCACTTTTCAGTAGTGATATTTTTCCTTTTCTATGTAACATTGAAGAATAGAATAAGAATCAGTAGTTTAAAGGGCATTAATTCTGTGTGTATGTGTGTGCTAGTACTGAGACTTAAATTCTGGGCCTTGACTGTTGCTTGGCTTTTTTTTACTCAAGACCAGAGTACTTGAGTCTTACCTTCAGTTCCTATAAATATTTTAGTATAAAAGAAATTGAACCCAGGGGCCAATGGCTCACACCTGTAATTTTAACTACTCAGGGAACTGATCTGAGGATGACAGTTTGAAGATAGTCTGGGCAAGAAAGTCCATGAAGTCTTATCTCCAGTTAACCACTAAAAAGCTGGAAGTGGGTCTGTGCCCAAGCGGTAAGAGTGCTAGCCTTGAGCAACAAAACAAAACAAAATAAAACTAGCCTTGAACAACAATTACAAACAGCTCAAGGACAACACCCAGGCCCTGAGTTCAAGCCCTAGGACTGACGCACATACATACATGCACACTAATGAAAAAGAAAGAAATTGATGCTCTGGTAACTTTTCTTGTGTCAAATTCATTTTTATTCTTTATTCATATATTAGTTCTGGTGAACATCTATTAAATAAATGAGCCTGTAAATTAAATTTCCTAATAAATACATTGTATAAACATCTCAAATTATTTAATAAGTAGGCTTAAAAGGGGGACTATTGCAATAGAATAAAATTATTTGTATAGTACAGTAATAATACCTTAGCTTTTTAATGAAATACTTTTTGTAGGAGACAGAACTCAAAGTTTTTTCTTGATTTACTTGAGAATGTGGTACTTCTGACTTCCTAAAGAAAAGCTGTTGTTAAAAGATTTGGGTTTGGGCTGGGAAGGTGGCTCAGTGGTACAGCACTTGCCTTGCATGCACGAGGCCCTGGGTTCGATTCTTCAGCACCACATAAACAAAAAAGAAAAAAGCTGGAAGTGGCTCTGTGGCTCAAGTGGTAGAGTGCTAGCCTTGAGCTAAAGAGCTGAGGGACAGCGCCCAGGCCCAGAGTTCAGTTCCCAAGACCGGACCCCCCCCCAAAGATTTGGGTTTTGTTTGTCTTGTCATTTTAATTCTAAAGGCAGTATCTAGTACAGACTTTTAAATCTTACTTCCTTGAAATAGGAAAGTCCTACCCCATTCAACATGGGTGTCTTGGGACTAGGCTACTCCTTGAAGTATCTGAGTCACATTTTGCCCTCATCTCTTTTCCAGCGTTCCAATCCACATGCTGCCTATCCTAACCCTGGACCAAGCACATCACAGCCCCAGAGCAGCATGGGATATTCAGCTACCTCCCAGCAGCCTCCACAGTACTCACATCAGACACATCGGTACTGAGCTGCCTCAGAACCTTGTCAATGCACTGTTGCTAATGCTGCAGGGCTGACTGTGCAGCTCTCCGAGGGAACCTGGTATGGGCCATGAGAATGTACTGTACAACCACATCTTCAAAATGTCCAGTAGCCAAGTTCCACCACTTTTCACAGATTGGGATAGTGGCTTCCAAGTTGTACCTATTTTGGAGTTAGACTTGAAAAGAAAGTGCTAGCACAGTTTGTGTTGTGGATTTGCTACTTCCATAGTTTACTTGACATGGTTCAGACTGACCAATGCATTTTTTCAGTGACAGTCTGTAGCAGTTGAAGCTGTGAAATGTGCTAGGGGCAAGCATTTGTTGTTGTATGTGGTGACTTCTTTCAGTGTAACAACATTATCTGACCAATAATACACAGACACAAAGTTTAACTGGTACTTGAAACATACAGTTTATGTTAACTCAACAAAATAACGAAGACTCAAAATGAGATTATTTTGGTACACCTTTCTTTTTAGTGTCTTATCAATGGGTTGATTCATTTTCTACTTTTAATCAGTGTTTATTGACAAGAATTTTGCTTGGATTTTTTTTTTTTTTTAGTACAAAAAGCCACATAGGTTTTCCAGAAAGGTTTCAATACTCCCAAAGATTAATTTCCAACTTTTAAGTTTGTTTTATATTTTCAATCTATGACTTGACTGGTATTAAAGCTGCTATTTGATAGTAATTAAAAATGTTGTCATTGATATAAACCTGTTTGGTTCAGCAAACAAACTAAAATGATTGTCATAGACAGTGTTTTATTTTTTCCTGTTGGTGTTGCTGATTTGTGAGCATGCTTTAAAATGAGAAAAGCATGAATGGTGACTTCCTTCAAAAAGGTGCGGCATCCAGTTCAGATACTTTGTCCTGATTTTAAAGCTGGTTGGTGTAGTGCTATTAAAATTTTGTTCAGTTAATTTTCTTTTTAAAAACTTGTTCGCACGTTGTTTAGGATGCCCTTACTTCAGCAAAGGAGGAGGAATGGGAGAGCCTTAGAATTTTTGAGGAAAAAAAAAACCTATAACATACAATGTACTGTATCAAACTATTTTACATGAATGACACAAGTATTCTGAATAAAAAAATAATTGAACATTGTTAAAAACAAGGTGTTATGTAATAAATTTATTTTTCATAAATCAAAATATGGAGTCAGCTGTATTTTATATGTACCAAGCACTTTTTTGTTTTAATTACTGGCCTGAATAAATCTCTTCCATTGGTCATTATGTTCTACCTGTATAATGGAGTAATGATTAGGTTCATTTCTATTCACTTAGGGCTGTGATATAAGATACAATGGAAAGATACCTCCAATTCACTGTCTGGAATAATAGCTAACCTATTCTGGGAAGGATTTGGCTTTTGCCCCAATAATTTTCTCCTGTAGTATAAAATACAGATAATTTTTAAAAAACAAACACTTTTCTCAAAATCTTAGCTCATTCATCTAAACGCATTTTAAAACATTTGAGGAACTTCAGAATCTCAATACGGATGGGCCCAACTATAAGGATTAAGAATCATTTTTAGAACTGGGTGCCAGTGACTCACACCTATAATCCTAGCTACTCAGGAGGCTGAGATCTGAGGATCGCGGTTCAAAGACAGCCCGGGCAGGAAAGTCTGTGAGACTATAATCTTCAATTAACCACTAGAAAACCAGAAGTGTCACTGTGGCTCAAGAGGTAGTGTTCTAGCCTTGAGCAGAAGAGCTGAGGGACAGCACCCAGGCCCAGAGTTTAAGCCCCATGACTGACCAAAAAATAAAAATAATTTTAAAAATTAAAAAGAATCATTTTTAGGCATTGAATATATGTTCTTTTTTTTTTTTTTTTTTTTTCCTCCGGTCGTGGGCCTGAACTCTGGGCCTGGGCGCTGTCCCTCAGCTCTTCAGCTCAAGGCTAACGCTCTACCACTTGAGCCACAGGACCACTCACAGCTTTTTTCTTTTTGCTTATGTGGTGCTGAGGAATCGAACCCAGGGCCTCATGCATGCAAGGCAAGCGCTCTACCACTGAGCCACCTTCCCAGCCCTGAATATATGTTCTTATTAGATGTCTACCCATCCCAGTTCACTGCATAAATCTGATGATGGAGTGTCCCAACTTAACTTTCAGATGTTCCCTATAACCACAAAATAGAGTAAAAGCCCTCTACAGGTTGGCCTCTTTCCATCATGCTTTTTACCTTCTTACATCTCTCCTACTAATTTGTTTCTCATGGTCTCACAGCCTTACTGCAGTGTTTTTCAGGCACATCTGGTATATTTTCCCCACTCAGGATCTTGTCCTAGGACGAAGTACATTGAATAGAAATGTGACTTTTTTTTTTTTAAACAAACTCCTTCAGTTGGTTCTGGAGCATCATTCTGAAGAATATATGTTGGTAACACAGTTCTTAAGACTACTTAAGAAGCTGATCTTCTTGGGCACTTCAGTAAATCTACTGGCAGTCCATCTTCTCTTCCAACTTGTATTTCCCAAACCAAAATCCATTATATAATAAGTTCCTCACTAAATGTCTTCTGTATACAAATCCACTCTAATTCAAATTTCTTAACATTGCCATATCATCAGACTTTCATATCCAACCTACTTTCTCCTTGAGCTCCAAACTTCCTCTAGTTAACTGCATCTGTGACAAACAGTACCCATGTGTTTATGCTTACCAGCATTCTCTACCCCGTTCTCTAGCTTTATTTTGTTCTGCACAGCACTTGACAACTAACCAGTGATATCCTTTGTCAGCCTTCTTTTTCTTCCGTAGAGAATGGGAGTTCCTGAGAGAATGGGTCTAGTTCTCAGAACTTCCTTACTTCTATCCATCTAGGCTTGTAATTTTGATGGGCTGGTGATTCCTAGATTTGTAATCCAGACCTGACCTGCCTATCATATCTGACTCATGATATCCTGAGTCCACCTCACCCAGACATGCCATTCCAGACTGGCTACCATGTCTGTGTGTGGGCACTCATCCTGCCAGAGGTCCAGGCCATGCAGCATCTTAACATACTTCTCTTATCCATTCTACATATGCCCCAGATTTAACACCTGCCCACTCCCTTTAAAATACAGACTAGGTCCTGATTTGCAGTATTTGAGTTTATGATGATGTGAAGCCATAGCATTCATTAGAAACTGAATTTGAAATTTCAAGTTTGGGTCTTTTCTCCAAATACTGCTGGGATAGCCTAGGGAAGGAATGACTTAAGGAAAAAAAAAATCCAAGTCAGGTGCCAGTGATTCACGCCTATAATCCTAGTTACTCTGGAGACTGAGATCTGATGACTCACTTCCAATAAACTGAAAAAGTTGAGAGTGGATCTGTGGCTTAGGTGGTAGAGCACTAGCCTTGAGCAAAAAATTCTCAGCTTAAGTGTGTATCAAATGCTTCTCAATGTACCATCAAGATAAACCCATATTAAGTGGAAAATATTTTCAACACACATAACCTATTGAACATTTAGCAGCAGCACACTGAAATACCCTTCAGTGTGAAATGCCCACGATTCCTTCTTATGCTCACATAAGAACATTCTCTTTCCCTGTCTCTGATCTCTCATGCAACACATAGCAGTAGCAAACACGCCTGGACTTTTTCCCCACTAGAAGAATAACACCAGTAGGGCAGCATTCTTTTATCAGAGTTCTATCATCCTTACAATAGTGTTCATATTCATAGTAAATGAATGAGCAGCTTTCTATTTGGATGTCAAATAGTATTTCAAACTGAACATAACCATGAAATTAAGTTATATTTTGCTCCACATCTAAGTTCTCCCAGAACCAGGGACAGTTGATCATACAAGAATTGTTAACATGGAAATTAGGTCGCATTTTCTAAAATAGTTCAATCTACTTGTAATAACCCCTGCTTTGAATTGATTTCACTTACAGTTATCAATGCTACTACTTTTTCTGTTACACATTGTCTTCACCTATTTTTCTTTCAACTTAAATTCCTCAACTATAGAGCCCATATTCAGTGTTCTTACAAAAACAAAACAAAAAACCAAACAACTTAAGGATCATGGTGCTAACCAAATTTTTTGCTTAAAACAAGTTTGGGTTCTCATTAGCCTCTGGAAAGACAGACATTACTCCTCACTTAATAGTGATTGCTTAAATGTTACATTGACTTTGCAGAACAGTAAATGAGATAGCCGAAATCTACTTTGCTCACCAAACTTAGATGTCTCTTTAAAAATTACACAACTTGGTGCCAGTGGCTCACAGCTGTAATCCTAACTATTCAGGAGGCTGAGATCTAAGGATTGATGTTTGAAGGCGACCTGGGCTGGAAAAGTCTAGAGACTCATCTCCAATCAGCCAGCAAAAATCTGAAGTGGAACTACATGGCTCAAGTGGTACAGTGTCAGTCTTGAGCAAAAAAGCTAAGGGACAGCACCCAGTCTGTGAGTTCAAGCCTCAGTACCAGAACCACAAAAATAACAAAAAAAGCACATGACCTCCCTTTTTCTGTGAAAAGGGGGAAAAGGTACAGTTACCATTGCACAAAAAGAATATGACTTGTAAAATTTGGGGCAGTTACAACATAGGCTTGCTAATACCTTGGCAATGTGAAGGATAAATGAAAGCAGCTATGGTCAGGCTCATAACTTCTGATGGATGAGATTTGGCCAATAACTACCTAATAAACTGAACACAGTACAGATCACTTGATACCTCAGGGCATAATTTCCAAAAGATATGATAAACTCATTCTGGGTGATTTTATTCATCTACCTAGACAATCATCAGAAGAAAGAAGGGTCAGTCTAATGAGCAAACAGGCCTTAAAATCAAATGAAGGTAAGAGATGTCTGTTAAATTACTCATGGCATTATATTTGTCAGAACTGACAAGTTAGGAGATTTCAGAGAGCAAACACTAGGAGGGGGCCTTATGGGAACTCCCTAGACTTTGAAAGGACTTAAGTTGATCCCTCATTCTTTGTCCCATTCCATTTGTTGCAAGAGTTACGCACTGTCTTGTGCATTGTAGCTACAAGCAGAGAATGAGGACTAGTTTCCTGTCAACTGTATTTGTGACAGATGACAAAACAGTTGAGCAACAGAATAAAGTAATATCCAACATAAAAATCTATGAAGAAGCTGGGCACTAGTGGCTCATGCCTGTAATCCTAGCTACTTAGGAGGCTGAGATCTGAGGATCACAGTTCGAAGCCAGCCCGGGCAGGAAAGTCCATGAGACTCTTATCTCCAGTAAACCACTAGAAAGCCAGAAGTGGTGCTGTGGCTCAAGCAGTAGAGCGCTCGCCTTGAGCTGAAGAGCTGAGGGACAGCGCCCAGGCCCAGAGTTCAGTTCCCAAGACCGGACCCCCCCCCAAAGATTTGGGTTTTGTTTGTCTTGTCATTTTAATTCTAAAGGCAGTATCTAGTACAGACTTTTAAATCTTACTTCCTTGAAATAGGAAAGTCCTACCCCATTCAACATGGGTGTCTTGGGACTAGGCTACTCCTTGAAGTATCTGAGTCACATTTTGCCCTCATCTCTTTTCCAGCGTTCCAATCCACATGCTGCCTATCCTAACCCTGGACCAAGCACATCACAGCCCCAGAGCAGCATGGGATATTCAGCTACCTCCCAGCAGCCTCCACAGTACTCACATCAGACACATCGGTACTGAGCTGCCTCAGAACCTTGTCAATGCACTGTTGCTAATGCTGCAGGGCTGACTGTGCAGCTCTCCGAGGGAACCTGGTATGGGCCATGAGAATGTACTGTACAACCACATCTTCAAAATGTCCAGTAGCCAAGTTCCACCACTTTTCACAGATTGGGATAGTGGCTTCCAAGTTGTACCTATTTTGGAGTTAGACTTGAAAAGAAAGTGCTAGCACAGTTTGTGTTGTGGATTTGCTACTTCCATAGTTTACTTGACATGGTTCAGACTGACCAATGCATTTTTTCAGTGACAGTCTGTAGCAGTTGAAGCTGTGAAATGTGCTAGGGGCAAGCATTTGTTGTTGTATGTGGTGACTTCTTTCAGTGTAACAACATTATCTGACCAATAATACACAGACACAAAGTTTAACTGGTACTTGAAACATACAGTTTATGTTAACTCAACAAAATAACGAAGACTCAAAATGAGATTATTTTGGTACACCTTT